ATTTGTTTGAAACAAATATTTTTATGTAGATCTCTGAATTGGCACGGAAGCTCGAGGCATGTAAATCAAATCTTCGATTTTTGAATAAGACGGTAACAACTACCAAGGTTGGCGCTGAAATCATGACCAAGTCAAAGCAACATTATAATAGAACATGATCGGAAATATTTATTATTAATATAATTATAAATTATCTTCAGAACAATGATATCAATGTGGAATTGAAAAATGAATTCAACATCATTTACGGACGAACAGCTGCTCTTGAAGTGGGTGACAAGTAAGATACTCATTCAATATTCGATCCATGAGACATCATTTTCATTATAGATGTCAAGGTATGGTCGAGGAATTTCATCAAGCACAAGATTATGGTGTGAGTGTGGATGTGGGTGTGTGGTACTCACACACACTTTCCTAGAATATCTTTTTTTTATACTCTATAATTTATTTTCTAGTTTACAGTGCAGGTAAACAGCCAAATTCTTTATTATACAATAAATTTTTCTTTCTAGAATGAGTCGTCGTATGATGCTTTATCATTCTATTTAAATTCACCCACACCTCCTGTTAAATTCGTGCGAACACGGAAATGAAATGATGTTTTCTGATCATTTATTCGTAAGATTTAAAGTTGAATGATCCACTTTTCTCCAATTCTCGAATGGCAAATAGTCCTTAGCTGCGAAAAAGAAATCGATTTTGCACTATATTCTGTGTATATAAGTGTTGGAGGTATAGTGATGTTACCAGAATCATTGCAGCTCTCGGCACTTATTTTGTGTATCTGTGCCGCAACCAATTTTCGTCTCTGCGTACACGGTAATATCAATTTCCAGAACTAATACATCTAATGCCTTCAACAACTCTATGTCTGTATGAAAGTATTAGAGATATAGAGATATAGATCTTGAATTTGGTACAAGATGAAATTTTTCATGACGTCCAAGTATTCTATTTTCAATGAAACTCACAAGTTTTCATTATATGAATGCTCAGCTTCTTTCTTGTTCTGTTCGACCAAGTGTGTCTTTTTGAATAAAGAAGCTAAATAGTTTTTGCCTAATAATAATATTTTCCCATTTTAAGTTATTGTGCAAGCAATTCTAACAGCGCGCCACGATAGAGTTGGCGTATTCTCTTATACTAAACATAGTAGAAGCATCGAGAATATCATCAACAAGAAAATGAATGACATCCATGGTTTAGGCTGTTTGAAAAGTCACAGAAATTACAAAGTCATGCAGACAAGATAGAAGTAATAAAGTAAAACAAGTGTCTTCTCAAAGCTTGATATTGAGTAAATACGTTGTGAATATACCGATGAGTGATACATATATGGTGCCTTTATAATTCATTCAGTAAAATACGATACATTTTGATACATCTCCTATACACTGATTCAGTTACTAGAGCTCGTCAAATATTTCATGTGTTAGCTAACTAAATAATCCACTAGAAGATTAATGTAAATCCTGTGCCATGTTCGTGCGTCTGCATTCGGATAGATTAAAAAATCGTCTCTTAATGCCTAAGGCAGGAACATATATGTGGCATAAAAAGATCACTGTTAGGAACTAATGGACCATGTTTATTAGATGTTGCAACATACAAGAATGTGATCACAATAAAAGTAGGTCATAAGGAGTAACGGATGATGTCCACTTGAAACCACATAATCCGACTACAATTACGATAATCGATGTGCACAAGAGAACAATTAGAATCAAATACCGATATGATAATGACAGAAGACTTATTGTGATAAAGATCTAGGGAAACAGGTTCGAAAATAAACTAGGCGTACGCCGAACCGATAGTAGAAGCTGTGGAAATCTTATCTGTCTGATAGATGAAGTTTATGTTTATGTTAAACATAGAAAATAGGAATACCCCGTAATTATCTTTAGAAAGGCTACGCTCTTGCAAAAATAGTGACAAGTGAATGTTAATGTAAACACTGTTCTGTAGCAGAATGTAGCCTTTCCATGATGTTGAAAAAATAAGTAGATGAAAGGAGTTTTCTGTGTTGTTCAGCGAACTGTTGACGTTTCCATCATTCATTGGAAAGAGAGAGCGTAGCCTGGTGACGCTCTTTTTAAGAAAACTGCTGAAGCATCATCAGTGCTTCCAATGACAAAGCTGCATCATAAGAGAAGAAATGATATAATTACTTCGTTCTTCATTATTGTAATATCTTGAAAAAAGGAAAGAATGTTCGAAGAGAAAATCAGCTAACTATGAGTGGGTAATTTATTCTTCGCTTTTTTTCTTCTGAACAGTGTTCTATCGTAAGTTTTGCTTTATTCTGTCTCTTCTTTCTACAAACTATAAGAAATGGTGGCGTCTAAAGATATTTTTATGTGACGATAAATAGTAGTTGCCTCTATCAGATGTATAGTAAGTTGTCATTCTGTCTAGCAGAGACGAAATCGGTCCGAATTTTTGACGACCGATACCGGTACTGGTCTGAGTAGGTCAGACCGAACCGGATCGGCCGGTCTACCAGTAACGACCGATCGATCAATTACCGGTCGGTCTATTGGTAATGACCGGTTACCAACCGATCTAAAAAGCATAGCAACTGCTTGTCGGTGCCGATTCCATTTCTCGATAGTGATATTTGGCATGCGCAACTTTCAACAAAATTTTTTTAGACATTTTTTGTGAGATAATGAGAATACATCCTATTCTACGATGTTGCACATTGCAGAATCAATTCCGATCCCGGAATTGGTCGGAATTCGGGCAATTCCGGAAATGAAGGAAACTCGATCGTTGTTGGATATGCCGAGTTAGGTCGATGATTCCGAAATTCTGGGAATCGGATGGAACTGATTTCGGGGACGGAATTGATTTCGGCTTGTGCAAAATCGTGGAATAGAATGAGTGTTCCGACGAAAACGACCTCAAAATTGACCTCGCCAGTTTCCCCATCCACACCCAGGATTTCTATGAATGCAGGATCCTTTCTCTACCAGAGCTTTGGCGACAAGTCATAGATAGTAATGGAGCATACATTGTTGAAAGGTAGTTGTATTGTTGAAGTTAAAAAATAAAATGATAATTTTCGAAAAAAACGCTAAAACTTTCTTGCCAACCTAATAGAAAATGAACTTTGAAAACAATAGAGGGAAATGTTCATAAATCTCTTCGACATCATCTACCACTCACTGAGAATGAATTAGTATTTTAACCCAAGGGAGAACAGCTGATTCTCAGATTCCAGGATTCCAAAGATTCCATGGGATTCCAAGAGATTCCATGGGATTCTGCTGTTCGGAATCAATTATTTTCTCCTTGAATTTTTTCCATTATTGTAAGGACGACAGATAGTATTGTTCGTGCCGATTATAAGTTTTCCAGGGTCCTCTTTAATTCGTCCCTAACAACCGAATGTTGTCTTCTAACAATAGGAGAGAGTTGGATATGGGGGAGGGACGAGAATGGATAGGTTTTTTGCGCGATCTTTTTCTCCACTATTGTAAGGGTGAAACATAATGTTGTCTGCGTCAAATACAACCAAATTGTGCACCACCTAATAGAAATCAATATTGTTTTATTCCTCAACAACAATTTGAACCAAATCGTGCGACAACAGGTACAATTTCACGTGGTTTTATTTTTCAACAACAATTTCAACCAAATTGTTCAGCTATTAATACAAATCGATACGATTTTATTTCTCAACAATTGAAACAAAATTGTCATGTAATAGCAAGTACAATCCACCGTGATTTTATTCCTCAACAACAATTCCAGTTTCCCAAGTCGAACAAGCACGGTCGTTTACAATCGTATACAAAGTCCGTAATTGTCGACCCGGGTAATTGTTTTGATAAATCGCCTAAATGTTTAAGCTAAATACGTGCGTTTAAGTTGAACAAAGAAAATATTTGTTTTTGTCAATACACATTGTTTTATTCAAGTTTTCTCTTTCGATGACACAATTTGTATATTCAACAGTGCAAACTCATACTTCAAGGACAGCAATACTAATTTTCGAAGAGCTATCATATTTTTGACCTTCATGCTATATAAAAGATACCAATACAGACGCAAGTTTTTGTTTATTTCTGTAAAAAAAAGCAATTCGTAATCTCAATCCAAGCTCTGGAAAGATCATGAATTTGCAAGATTTTCCTAGTCTCACCATGGTCAGCAATGAAAACTATATCTTCTCAATTGGATACTCTAGAAATTCTCTGCTAACATTTAAACCTTACTTGCTGAGAAAATAAAAGATAGGCTTATTTAGGTTTATCAAGAGTGAGTGGATGAAAAGAAGTCACCACACCAACATCTATGTACACTCACATTTACATTCAGCATGGATCTTACGCTTTCGATGCACAAGTGAAAACTGTTTGTACCATCTGGGATTATTACGATTAGTTACCACCTTCAAAAATAAGTACAAAGATTTGTTTTTAGGTTGATGATTCATCATATATATTACCTTTTTGTGAATAGTTCCTGATTAATCATCAGAATTTCTTTTCTTGATAGAGCAAAAAGCCTTGATTCAATTAAATCGAATTTCTTTGGTTATATATCGACATTGACATGTCTAAGGGTTAAGTAACAAGAACTATTACTTCTTTCACATTTACTAAATTTAAACGTATCATCATCGATAGTACAAAAATGTTTTGTTTTCAGATTTCAGAATTGACTGAATGAAATCAGTGGATATTTAATTAATTTTCAGATGTTAACTGTTGGTCTAGTGATCTAACAACATGTTCAAACTTTTTGATCTATTGAGAATTCTCTTCAGATATTTCTAGTATATTTACTAGTATTTCATATTAAAAACGATAGTTGAGAGAATATTAAGAAAAACTTCATATACCATAGCTCTATCACAATGATCTATTTATGCAGACATAAACAAAAAAAAAACATAATAGCAGTCAAAACATAGAAATAAATAAATAAATAAACAATTTTGTGAATATCACGTTTTGAAAAGAAAGATCAAATAATCGACTCGTATATCATTCTGTATTATCCATTTCAAGTAAAAATTTTGGTACCTAAATAAAAATACAAGAGTAATTATTCAAAGAAGAATTTTTTTTTATTTGATTATCAATTTACTGTTAATCCAGCCGATTGAATTATATTTCGACATTGTTTCAAATGATCTTCATAAGTTGAACAAAGAACAAGTACATCATTTTGTTCTTTTTGATTTTGTTGATAAACAAGATTTAATTTTTGATATTCATTATTTAAATTAGCTTTTTCATCGATTATTTCTTGCATTTGACCTTCAAGACTCTGACAAAAACAAAAAAATAATATCGATGAAAATAGAGTAAAATTATCGATATTATACTTCAAGTATTGAAACTTTTCTTTTTTCATTTGTAATTTTTTCTTGTAAAACATTATTTTCTAATTGAAGACGAGCTATTTCATCAGTTTGTACTCTACATCTAAATCAATGATACAACAGATACCTTTAAAAAAAGAAAATATTTTTTATCATCTAAATTTTTACCGTTCATCAAATGCATTTAGTTTTTCTTGTAATTCGCTAATTTGAGCTTTCAATACTGCTTGTTCATTTACAGAATTTCGTTCATCATTCTAAACACAGTTTTAGTATTGAATTAGTCCATAAAAAATGAACTACCTGCACAATTTGATTATCATTGTTGTTTAAATTAATTTGTTCAATACCATTTTCAATTCTACAAAATATTAAAAAATAAGAATCAAAATCATTATTTATCGATAGACATACGGTTGTGTTAAATAGTAGTATTGCTGTTGTTGTTGTTGTTGTTGTTGATACGCCTACGAAAGATTATAATTTTTATGTAAGTCAGAGATTTATAGATTCAATAGAGAGCTTAAGTATATGAAAGATTTACTTTGATCAAATTTACGACAAGGGCGATCACGAATGGCCCCAATCTTCGAGTTTCGAAACGGGAGAAAAACAAAACTTTTGTCCAAGATAGTGTGTTTAAACAAAATATAAGTATCTCGTTGTTTCCTTTTACAAGGATACTTAGAGCTAATCAAAATTAGGAGACAGATATACGGTTTTTTAACAAAGCCAGTGTTATCTTTCCTAACTATCTATGATGTAATCAATGTTTCTTCGACTGAGCAATATCTTAAACAATGAAAAAAAAATCGATTCTACCTGTTTGAGGAAGCCAGGAAGAACACTTATTCAAAACTTACTCGAACTAAGTTTTTAAGTCTTCACAAAAACTGATTTTGTTTTACCGAAGTGAAAATATTTTGTCGTCTTATAAAAATCTTATGCCTGTGCTAATTCTTTCCAAAATCTAAACCGTCGTCAAATACAATTTATAGTAATTTGTTAAAAGCTATTCTGTCATCACAGACGACCATGATTGCTCAAAACCAGAGATCAAATTACATAACTTGTTTGAGTAAGACTTCATTTGGTTCAGTGTTTTGGAAGCAGATTAGACTACCACAGCATGTATTTAAGGGAAATAATTTTTCTTTTGGTGAGAAGTATTTTGCGACAAACTATGTTCAACATAATGAGTGCATACATTTTAACACGTCCAAATCCATTGATATTTTAACAGAATGTTCGTTGGACAATACTATATCTATACTATTAGCGAAAACTAGCTCAGCGATTCCTGCAGATATTAAACTGCGTCGATTGATCTAAAGTTGAACGAAAAAATGTAGAAAAGGATCTCTTTCAAGTGTTTTTTTTCTAAGCAAAAGAAAACTATTTTCAAACGAGAAAGTGACCCATCCGTCTATCATACGAAAAATTCAAACCATCCTCCTGTCAGACTTGTCCTAAGGAAGATACTATTAGTTAGCGGATGTAGAGAATCTTGCAAAAAAAAAAATTATTATTGAATGAAAAACTCAATTTTTATACCATCATATTTCTTAAATATTCTAATTCCATTTGTTGTTGTTCACATATTGTCCGTAATCCATCATCAGAATTTTGTTCTAATCGAAAAATATCGAAACTTAAATTTTAAATATTTTTTTCCTTTTCATTTACTTTGTTCAGATGAAAATTTCAATGAAGTATATTGATCACGAATTTCTTGTAATGATTGTTCTAATTCAGCAATTTTCTTTTGATAAAAATCACGTTCTTCAAAAAATTGTTTTTCTTGTTGTTGATAGGTATTTATTTGTTGACTTTGTTGTTGAATTAAATCTGTATATTGCACTAACATTGTTGATGATTGATCAGATGATCTTGGTTGTTCATCATTTGTACGTGTTGTTAATAGTCGTGTAATGGAACCTTCAAGAATTTTATACAAACGAGCAAATTCATAATCCAGAGCCATATCATTTGATTTTGAGAGTTTTAGTTGAGGTTTATATAAAGCTTTAGCATAATAATCGGATTTAGAAAGTAATTCAAGTTTTTCTTGAAATAAATCGATACCAATACGTTTTTTAATAATTCGTTCAAGTGATTCTCTAGAAAAAAAAAAATATTAATTAGTAATAACGATGAATATATCTCTTCAATTTACTCCATTCGTTTTCCATCTCATTCAATTAGATATAGTCATTTTTTCTATTTATACAACTTTTATGAATGTTAACATACAGCTCGCTTTTCTCTAACAACGAATACATATCAGGGATGAACATTGCACTTAAAATACAAGGTTGGAGTGGCATGGAGGACGGCGGCGCCTTACATTAACTGAAGGACTATTTTTTCTCATCTTTTTCAGAGTGAATTTAATGGTAACTAGATTACAGTGGAAATTTCAATGTTTTTTTATGAAGCCAAGTGTGCACTATTCAGCAGCGTAATAAACACTTGTGTTTCATGCGAAATCCATGGTGGAATTTCAAGAAATATTGAAATTTGTCATCTGCGAACTTCTTAAGGTTGCAACGTTGGAAAGTCTAATATAATCAAGTTATCATTAAATTTACTCTGAAAAAGATTTACAAATTCCTACTTCTTAATAGTCACCAAAAAAGCATTTACCATTACTTCCACTTGCATGGAGAATATTCAAATAATTCACAACTCGGCAAAGAACGCCCATAAGCAAAATATCAATTCAAAAGGATACAGATACTTGAGAATGTTCTCTCATTAGTTTTGAGTAAGCTCAAATTTGTTACCAGGATAATTTTTAATCAACATTAATTTTATCAATGATTAAATCCTGTCTCTTAACTTTTCAGTGTTTGATGTAGAGTGATTAAAGTCTAGCGGGAGTGAGTGAACATTTCTGATACATATAACATATGATGTATTTTTCTATTTTCATTCTATTCTCTGCTACACCTTTTATTTTTCTAATTTATTTATAATTTTAAACTTACGTTGAACAAGTTGATATTTGATTATTATTAAATAGTAAACATAATCCAAAGGCAAATGAACATAATGATTGTATAAGAACTTCAAGATCATCTGCTACTGATTGAGCACAAATTTGTGAAATCAGCTAAAGTAGCAAAAAAAAAACATACAGTCAATTGATAGATAAATTTACATAAAAATTTTTGCATACATAAGAAATACTACTTGGAATGGAAAGAAATGCTTGTACAGCTAATGTACAATTTGACAACCATGTACATAGAAAAATAAGTATGGAAATACGTGTATGAAACGAAGATGAAGACTATTTATAAAAATAAATTTAAAAAAACAAAATATTTCAATAAAAAATTTTCAATATATACATTTTCTAATAGATCAATGGATATTTCCATTAATGTTTTAGCATTAGATTGAGATTGATCAATTGAAAGTACAACTTTAAGTATAGCTTCTTTAAGTTGTTGATTATCCATAATTAAATGTGATAGAGCAATACTTGAGCACCATGAAGCAATAATATCTTTACTTAAATAACCAATAATTAGTAAATGACCTAATGTATATTGATTAGGAACTAAAATGAAAAAAAATTCTTTTTGAAAAATCATAGTTTAAAAAACAATTTACCATTTGCTGTTTGAGGTAAAAGTGTTTGTACAATCATTGATTTTCCATAATCATTTTTATATAAGTAACATTGAAAACAATAAAGAATAGATATTCGTAATGGAAATAGTTGTTTTTCGCCAGCAACCATTGTATAAAGAAGACTTAATAACACTGGTCTACAATAAATTTTTTTCTTTTGAATAAATAAATATATCAAAGATATTAAACTAACTGTGGAATTTCACCCGTATTATTCATTACAGCACCCAAAAATTGTTGATTTTCGTTATTACCACGGACAATATCACCAATTGTATTGATGGCCTATTAATATTTCAAAATATTTCTTTTTATAAAACTATACCACAAAAAAAGGCTTACTTCAGCTAGAACATCAGGTGGAATAGTTGTCATTGTTAGCATAACACATAAACGATGTAAAAGACCTTTTAGAAAATAATCAAAATTAGATAATATTTCCTTTTTATCATTCTATTTGGTACATCGACAGATGAGCCTCCTGACATAAGGAACAAAATTAAAGAAATACAAGAATATAATTTTATTTGAATAAATCCATATTTATATTAAAAATAAAACAGAGCTCTTGCTATCAAATGAAAAGTCAAGAAGTTCATATTTACGAATGGATGTTGATCGTGTGTTCACTTATGTTCACACTCCAAACAGTCAAGAAGACTACTATCCATGTCAAAATATAATGTGTTCCACTATTTTTTGAATAACTATTGATACAGATGAGTTCTTTGTGAAGATTTTTAAAAACAATGTTCTGAAGCTATTTCTCTTTCGATCAATGCAAAGCCGACACTCCTAACTTGCTCTATTACACAGTTACAAGACTTTTCCTGAGACCTTCAATTTCAGTCAATTGATCTATGATCACCCGGAAAAGCAGCTAAATAGCGGCAATGCATTATGCTGAGTCCAATGGTGATATTTGTTTTTCG